CACTGCCTGCAAGCTACCAATAGCTTGTGAAATGAGCTGCCATTACCTGTCCACTGCAATTGTGCTACTGGTAGCTATTCAACATGCTACCGGTAGCATAACCTAGTTTTCTCCCAATTTAATCTTGTTTTCAATTTCAACTCACCCAATCTTATACAACATTTATCCAAACTCACATAACATCAAATTTTAGAAAAAATATAGTTCATATGAGTTCATTGTACAATAATTTATACAACATCAAAAGTCCAAAATTTAAAGCCACAACTCAGTTTTCTTCATCAACAAGAGCTCAAGTGAGAGCCGTCCATCGACGTTTGTCCTGGACCTGAAATATTGTTCCCATAAAGGGTGAGCCATACTAACCCAAATGCATATGAAATGTTCACATGTAATTCAACAATCAAACAAGCATTCATCCAAGAATATACAATTCATAATGGAATTCACAATGCAATGTCATGTTATGAGACGAGACTCACACATAAAATGCAATTGGAGCCTTCATCGACTCTCATAATACATGCAATGCCATGCGTATGTACCTGGGCATTTCAAGCCCCTGCCATTGATGTTACACATCCAATGACTATTTTATAAAATAACCCATGTGTCTTTCTTGGGTAGGTGATTTCCTGGACTTGCACCAATGGTCTACCACACCGATAGGGATTTTGGTATCTCACCTCCGGTTCTACGTACACCACTACACTTTTTTGGACTTTCACTATCGAAAGTGTATAAACTTGACGTGAACCCCAATCAACTTGCTTTGAGACTCAGCAAGAATATTAGAAAAACGACCCAAGAAAGCCAAACTCAAGCCTATGGATGGAGAATCTGGACCTGTGGAGAACTCGTTTCAAGAACCTAGATTATATTAAAATCTAGACCCATTGAAGAACCCGTCTCAAGAACCCAAATTACAATGAGGAATACCACAAAGGTTGTGATTTTCTTTTGATAAGTTCAATCAAGAACAAAAGGAGTAAACTCAACTCACAATTGAAATTCAATATTGTCTAACCTCTTGAAGTTACCGGTTACATCCTTTAAATACCCTTCCCAAAACATGATAAAATCCTAGACTAAAATTTGTGACCCTTTCTCTCAAAAATGCCCTTGACTGAATAGTATTGTGAGTACTGTAGTGTGAATAGTGTTGCGCTATAGTAACTTTTAAAACCCTAGTTCAAATAAAATAATAAGACATATGTGGGCAAAGCATCCTCAAGCCCACTAATAAAATATTAACTACTTCAGTTTGACCATCAGTCTGCGGATGACAAGTAGTGGAAAATAAGAGCTTAGTACCCAATTTCCCCCACAACACCTTCCAAAAGTAGCTAAGGAATTTAACATCCCAATCACAAACACTACTCCTGGGCACACCATGGAGTCGCACTATCTCCCCGAAAAACAAGTCAGCTATGTTTGTGGCATCATCTGTTTTATGGCATGGAATGAAATGTGTCATCTTACTAAACCTATCCACAACCACAAAAATAGAATCTCTACCCCTTTTTGTCGTAGGCAGCCCCAAAACAAAGTCCATAGATATGTCAACCCATGGCTCACTAGAAACGGGTAAGGGTGTATACAACCCATGTGGCAAAACTTTAGATTTGGCCTTTCTACATATAATGCACCTACCACAAATGCGATTGACATCTCTCTTCATCTTAGGCCAAAATAAATATCCATGCAAAATGTCTAAATTTTTCTTGACACCAAAGTGTCCCATTAATCTCCCACCATGTGCCTCACACACCAATAACTCACGCATTGAACAACTTGGCACACAAAGTTTGCTTTCTTTAAACAAGTAACCATCATGCTTGTAAAACTTACCAAATGCCTCCTTATCACATGCCATGTACATATTAGAAAAGTTAGCATCATTGGCATACAGGTCTTTCACATATTCAAACCCAAGCATTTTAGCACTCATAGAAGTAAGAAATACATACCTCTAAGATAAGCCATCAGCAACAATGTTCTCCTTACCTTGCTTGTAACGGATGACATATGGAAATGTCTCAATGTATTCCATCCATCGAGCATGCCTTTTATTCAACTTACCTTGACCCTTGAGATGCTTCAATGATTCATGATCGGTGTGGATCACAAATTCCTTAGGCCACAGGTAGTACTGCCAAGTCTCTAATGCACGAACAAGAACATAAAGCTCTTTGTCATAAGAAGAAGGGTACTTCAGTGACGCCCCACTTAGCTTCTCACTGAAGAAGGCTATGGGCCTCCTACCCTGCATCAAAAAGGCTCCTATCTCTTGATTAGCCCCCCCAATGAAACCCAACATTCTTTTTAATGACTTTAGTGAGTGGTGCATCAATGGTGCTAAAGTTTTTAACAAAACACCGATAAAAGCTAGTTAAGCCATGAAAGCTTCTTACGTCAATGATGCTCTTTGGCGTTGGCCACTCCTTGATGGCCTTGACTTTCTCTTCATCTACCTCAATACCTTTTGTACTAACAACATAACCAAGAAAAATAAAATTTTCCATGCAAAAGGTACATTTCTTGAAATTAGCATAAAACTTTTCACATCAAACACATATCTCAAATGCTCAATATGTTCATTTAAGTCCTTATTGTACACTAGGATATCATCAAAATTCACAACCACAAACTTGCCAATGAATGCACGTAGGATATGGTTCATCAATCTCATGAAAGTACTGGGCGCATTTGTAAGTCCAAATGGCATAGCCATCCATTCATAAAGTCCATACTTGGTCTTAACAGCAGTTTTTCATTAATCACCCTCTTTCATTCTAATTTGATGGTACCCACTTTTATGATCAATTTTACTAAAAATACATGAGCCATGCAATTCATCAAACATATCATCTAATCTAGGAATGGGATGACGTTACTTTACCGTGATGTTGTTGACCACCCTGTAATCAACGCACATCCTCCACGTCCCATTCTTCTTTTACACTAGTAGCACTGGTACTACACACAGGCTCATGCTCTCCCTCACGTACCCCTTGCTCATCAAATCCTCAACTTGCCTCTGAAGCTCCTTTGTGTCCTCTAGATTACTCCTATTGACTGGTTGGTTTGGAATAGCAGCTCTGGGCACAAAATCAATCTGGTGCTTAATGCCTCTAATGGTTGGCAATTCATTAGGCATCTCTTCTGGGAATACATCCTCAAAATCCTGCAACAAAGAAATATCCAAACTAGGAAGAGATTGGTTAGTTTCATCAAGATTAAGATAAGACTCTTTACAGACAATAAAAATCATAGAGCGATTTGCAAAGAAAGCCCTCTTAACCTCACTATCTCTTGCATAGAAACTCACTTTTGTCTTTCCTTTTCTCTCGGAAGACTCTCCCTTTTTTTCTCTCTTGGCTCCACTCTTTTTTCTTTACTCTCAGCCACCTCTCTACTCTCTTTTTCACTATTTCTTTTTTGCTCATTTTCACTCTCACTCTTTCTTTTTTGGTCACTCTCTTTTTCACTCTTTCTTTTTTGGTCACTCTCTTTTTCACTATTTATTTTTTGATCACTCCATTTTCACTCTTTCTTTTTTGATCACTCTCATTATCACTCTTTCTTTTTTGAGCAACCTCATTTTTCAATTTCAGTTGGTCCTCTTAGACCTGGCTTGGAGTTAAAGGAGCACGCTTGATTGTTTTGCCCTCCTTTACAAAGCTGTACATATTCTTGAACCCATCATGTGTCACCCTCCTATCATACTGCCATGACCTCCCCAAAAAAATATGGCCAGCATGCATAGGCACAACATCACAAAGCACCTCATCCTGATACTTCCCAATTGAAAAAGTAACTAACACTTGTCTATCCACCCTAACCTCCCCACAATCATTCAATCACTACAATTTGTATGGACGAGAGTGTTTTAAGGTAGGTAAATTCAATTTCTCAACCAAAATAGTGTTAGCCACATTAGTACAACTCCCCCCATCAATGATCATACTACATGCCGTGCTATTGATGTGGCATCTAGTATGGAAAATGTTCTTTCTCAATTGCTCTGCATCATCCACCTTAATGTGTGTATTGAGAGCACACCTGACAATAAGAGACTCACCTGTCACGGCGTATGCCACTCCATCATCATCACTAGCATTAACCAACTCGGGCACCTCATCACTTTCATCCTCATTCTCAGTCATCACCTCCCCCATTGTCACGCATAATCATCACCCACCTGTTTGGACGTTGAGAAGTGTTATGCCCTGAACGAAAACACTTAAAGCATTTAATATCTCTATTCCGTAAAGGTTGAGGTTTTACCTTGGGTTTGTTGCTAGTTCCCTCATCTTTTCCTTTAGGTGGTCAGTCTTTCTCTTTGCGTTAGCTGGATCATTCCTATCCCATTTTGATTTCCAAGTCGTGCTAGAAACCGAAGTGTACCTTGCTATCCCTTTTCTCTTTAACTGCCTTTCCACCTTCATAGCCATGTGCACCATGTCCTCTATCTCCACATAATGTTGCAATTCAACTACATTGGCTATGTCTCTATTCAAACCACTCAATAATCTAGCCATGGTGGCCTCCCAGTCCTCCTCTACATTAGCCCGAATCATCACCACCTCTATCTCCTTATGGTAATCCTCTACACTCCTAGACCCTTGTGTAAGATTTTAGAGTTTTTGGTAAAGGTCCCTATAGTAGTGGCTAGGTACAAACCTCCACCACATGAGAGCTTTCAACTCTCCCCATATCTCAATAGGCCTCTCATAATTCCTCTTCCTACTGGTCACTAATTGATCCCACCAAATAATAGCATAATCAGTGAACTCAATTACCGCCAACTTTACTTTCTTGTGCTCAAAGTAATTATGAAAATCAAACACCAACTCTATTTTTTTCTTCCACTCTAAATAAACCTCAGGGTCTATTCTACCTTGGAAAGATGGTATTTTCATTTTGATACTCCCAAGGTCTCTATCTACACCATCTTGACCCCCTAGGTTTCCCTCAAATCCTCTTTCATACCTAACTCTACGATGTCTACTCGACCTAATTTCAGATCTTAGGTCTTCCTCATCCTTGCCAGCTCCTTCATTCTCATTTTCATTTTCAACCCTAGGCTCACGTTGCCTCTTATCTCTCCCACCTCGCAAATTTCTAATCGTTTCTTCTTGATGATCAATCCTATCCCTCACTTCCCCCATCACCAAGTTCAACCTCTCAAATTGTTGTTGCATGACCTGCAACGTAAAGAATGGGTTATCGGTCATCCCCTTTGGTGATGAGCCACTTCGGTGAGACATTGTAATGTGCTGCATAAAAAGAATGTTAGTGGTAAAAAAAAAAAACCTCACACACTCCCTTACGTGTTTACACTCAAATGATGACACTCCACTTGTGTTTAACTCTTAATTGGATTTTTCCCAATAATAGTCCCACGCTCTCTTGCCTTTTACCTCAAGAGTTTTCCCACTCAAGTTCTTTAAGAACTAATTGAACTCAGTCAAGATAATGCAACCTTGTTTAATCCTAACTAGTAATTAGGCCCAAGAAACAAGAAAACAAGAACAAGAACAAGAAACACAGAAAGAATAAGAACAAGAGAAACACAGAAGGAATAAAATGACACAAGATTCAAGAAAATTATACGAATGAAAGAGTAATTATAAGACAAGATATCAACTATAATGATGTATGCAGCCCATTTGAAGATAAGGCTCAAAAAAAAAATATTTTCGGATTTTCTCCTTTGTTTTTTTTTCTCATTTTTTTTGGATGAATTTTTTTTCCCACCAACTGATTTGATCACAAACTAAATAATAAACAGTTGACAAAACACTAGAACAATGAAATTTTCGGCAGCCACACAAAACCCTAAGAATGTCGACAACCTTTTTTTTTTTCACTCTAGAATAATGAAGCCCTAGAATCAAATATATAACAAATAAAAGGATAGAATATGACCTGATTGGAAACCTTGCTCTAATACCAAATGATGTGAACCCCAATCGACTTGCTTTGAGACCCAACAACAATATTGAAAAAATAACCAAAGAAAACCAAACTCAAGTCTATGGATGGAGAATCTGGACCCATTGAGAACTCGTTTCAAGAACCTAGATTATATTAAATTCTAGACCCATTGAAGAACCCATCTCAAGAACACAAATTACAAGGAGGAATGTCACAAATGTTGTGATTTGCCTTTGATAAGTTCAATCAAGAACAAGAGGAGTAAAATCAACTCACAATTAAAATTTAATATTGTCTAACCTCTTGAAGTGGCCGGTTACATCCTTTAAATACCCTTCCCAAAACATGATAAAACCCTAGACTAAAATTTGTGACCCTTTTTCTAAAAAATGCCCTTGAGTGAATAGTGTCGTGGGTACTGTAGCGTGAATAGTGTTGCGCTATAATAATTTCTAATATCCTAGTTCAAATAAAATAATAAGACATATGTGGGTTAAGCATCCTCAAGCCCATTTATTCTAAACTAATAATAAAAATCTTTTAAACAAATTGAAGGCCTTAACAACAACATGCCCTATCTCTAATTCATGTCTTCCACAACTTTGATCAAGTGGATCAAAACTGGTTCTCCTTCTTTCAAGCCTATCTGGAGTGTTGGGCTGTTGCTAGCTTCATCCCAGGTGGATTGCACTAATCCTTGCATTGCTTCCTTGATCTTCCTGGCTCTTGATCTTGTAATTGGCCCATCTGGAACTTGCAAAGGATCTTTAAGAGTAGGCCCACCTTGGTTCCTATCATTCCCCCTCTCCTCAAAAGGATTCAACCTTGAATCTTCACCTATATCAAAATGAGAAAGATCATAAACATTGAAGGTGGCAGAAATATTATACTCACCTGGAAGATCCACTTTATGTGCGTTGTCATTAATCCTCTCAAGAATTTGGAAAGGTCACGTGGGCCTACTCTTAAAAATCCTTTATAAGTTTCAGATGGGCCAATCATAAGATCAAGAGCCAAGAAAATCAAGGAAGCAATGCAAGGATTGGTGCAATCCACCTGGGATGAAGCTAGCAAGAGCCCAACACTCAAGATATGCTTGAAAGAAGGAGAACCAATTTTGATCCACTTGATCCAAGCTGTGGAAGAAATGACTTAGAGATAGGGCTTGTTGTTGTTAAGGCCTTCAATTTGTTTAAAAGATTTCTATTATTAGTTTAGAATATTGGCCTTGAGGATGCTTAGCCCACATATGTCTTATTATTTTATTTGAACTAGGTTTTTAGAAGTTACTATAGTGCGACACTGTTCACGCTACAGCAACCATGTCTTGCACTCGAGGGAGAGTCTAGCTCTTCTTGCTATATCCGACATAAGTTTTTCATGCAACCCGTACAACTCAGTTAGAACTAGGTCCAACATTCTTAAGTCCATGCCTCAACCACCAAGAATGGTGTTTGACCCAAAAACATGCACACACACTTACGAATGTGATGCTACTTGTGCATATGCATATGTTAATGTATAATTGCATGTCATATCACTATGCAACCAATTTTTCAATTGCAATTTCAACATCATGTTCAATATGTCATGAGCACATTTGAACAACTTCAAATCCTCAATTTAATTTATATCATCAATCATATAATTACATTCTAACATCATTACAAAGCATGCTATATTAGTTTTATTCAAATAACATACTTAATCAATTATAGGCATTTTATCAAACACCCAAACGACACAAAATCATGTAAACACATAATCATGCCCAACACATTACATTATCCATGAAATTCCTAATCAAGTAATTTCAACAGCACCCAATTCATGCAAAATTAGTTTAATACATCCTTATACTATGTTCCGTACTCTAGGTATACTAGAAATACTTTTAGACAAGAGATTTCATCTCAATTTATGCTACCTATTTCATGAGAAATCCTAGGTTGAAAATAAACCTAACTAAGAGAAAAATCCTACCTCTTGAAGCGTAATACGAGTGGCAGAAACTCCCAAGAACCCAAATCAAGCTTCAAACATTGATTTTCAAAAATCTCGATCTTGAGAATTCGGCAAAATTTGCGATTTTTGGTACGTAGACATAGCTTTTGTCATGTAGATCAATTTTAGTTCTTGGCCCGAAGCAATTAGACAAAAGGATGGCCCTAGATCGCAAGGATAAGATGAAGAAAACCTTGATTCTATCTCTCTTCTTTCCCTTTCTCTCTCTATCGGAATCAGTTGGGTATTGGGGAGAAAAATCTAATTTTTCTCCTTTATTTATATCCTTTAATACTTGGCTCACAATGCGAAACACTTCCCGCCTTTTACTGATTTGATTTCATCTCGAGTCAATTCACTCTCTTTCTGTTTTAAGTTCAATATATTTTATTTGAACTAATTTTAAATTATTTTTTGTATTTCACAATTAAAACTCGATTGCATTTATTTTGGTCACACGACACCCAATCGTATCATAAATTGCAAAAAATTTGGTTGTCTCAAAATTCAATGAAAATTGACTAGGTAACTAGATTTCGCGAGATGAATCCAACGGTAAGATCCGTTTTGTCATCTGAGTTCTAAAAAAATTTAAATTTTCAACTCGTATCGTAGTGACTAATTATCGTTTTGCTCTTTTTCATAAAAATTTAAATTTTTTCGGGTTTTACAAGATGAGTAGGGACCACTCAAGTGACCTCAGGACTGCTTGAGCCTTCTCAGGACTACTTGAGTAGCTTGAGAATGGCTCCGAGAGCGGTCTTCATTCCCCATTCATTTAGCCTTTCCTAGTTTTATCCCTAGGTGTTCAGAGACCACTCTATCTAAAGGCAATTGAATAGAGGATGTTGCCTATTGGTTTTTAAGCCTAAAGCCAAGTAAAAAATTTTCATATTGTGTATTAAAGGGTGTTGATCAAATAGGGTCCAATTAATCATTCATCTTATTTTTTCAAAGCACAATAAAGGTTTAGAAAAATGTTTCTTTAAAGAACACCTAGGAGTAGTTAATAGATTAATCACTGATTTTATCTTACCTAATCATCCTAAGTCTAGAACTAAAACAAGAGTGCTTAGGTCTCTAAGATCATTACCTTTCTTCTAAGCATGAAAATAAATTCGGAGAGTCTTTGATGTGTCATTGTAGCTTGAACTCCTGTATTCATTTGATGTTTTTAGAATTTGAACATTGTAGCATTATGACCATGGAATAGGTTGAGATTTACAAATGTCTTCACAAAATTAGTCAATTACAAATATTATCCTAAGAAGAAGAATAGAGCATGTTCATGTTAACATCATTCAAGTGCAATGTGTAACAAATATAAGCAACACTAGCCCATTATGGTTGAGAACATATAGATTTAGCAAATTCAATACACAAAAAGTTCTCCCTTTTAGTTGGTGTTCGCAAAAGAAAATAATAAGTGGAAAAAAAAATTATGTGATTTCATGCTAATTTTCTAAATGTACTCCTCATGACTCTGTCAACAAACTCCCTCTTACTGTATTCTCATTCAACTAATCCCTAGATAGTCATCAAATTTCACCTCAATTAATCCCACAACTTCTCCTGTTTTAGCACGAAGTGCCAAATCACAGCAGTAAGAAGGAAAGAAGAGAATCATGGTATAAAAGAGAAAATAAAATCCAGCCTGATAAGGATAGACAAAATGGAATAAGTAAAGGAAAAAACATGACATATAACCTCAAGTCTAAAGCAAATATAAAACAATAAAGCATAGAGACTCCAAGTGTGTCACCTAACAAAAAAATTAAAAAAAAAGTATTTAATCATGACCAGTGATCAAGTAGAAAATCTCTCATGCTCCCATAAAGTCCAAGATCTAAGTCTCCAAAACAACAGCTCCTCTAGGTGCATCACCTCCACCATTACCATAATGAGGAACCTTAAAGCATCATCTCGAGCCTTTGTACTCCTTGTCAACTAGGCTAGTTTCTTCTTCTTCTTCTTCTTCTCTTATGATTATGTGATGGACAGAGTGATGAAGAAGTTTGACTCATGTTAGAAGGAAGAGGCATCAAAAATGGAAGTCTTGATTCCTATCACATGTACTTTAGGGAGACCACTCGAACCATGTGTAGGCTGATCAATCGGTCCTTGAAGCTTGTCTATTTTATTGAAAGATTTGGACCACTATGCTCCTCCTCAAATCCTCCTATCAATTTAATGATCCTCCAAAACAAGCATGATTATATGTACATGATTAAATGCAACTGAATGAAAATGAATGGATGAAACTAGGATCTAAATGCTATGCAATTTTTAAATTTATAGCACAGTCATCAATAATGAAAACCACACA